CGTTTGTCGTTAAAGTATTGTCTTTGTATCTTCTGGTAGGAAACAACTTTAAATAAATATATTTTAGATATTAATAAAATGTTGAATCTTGCATAATAACTTTTGTTCTCCTTTTACTAGAACAAAATGGGTTTTGAAGCTGGAAAAGGCTTAGGTAAATATGGCCAAGGCCGAACAGATGTAGTGGAGCTTTCAAAGCAGCGTGGCCGAAGAGGTTTTGGTTTGCACCTGGAAGGATTAGAACCATGCAATGTGTCATGGGACTTTGAAGCAGAAAAGGTAGGCTGTTATTTATGTTCAAAGTCATTTCTGTTTTGTACAAAATTCTAAAATAGAATAGCTAGATGTAAGCATAAATATTTTTTGTTTAAAATTGTTTTATTGATTTATTACTTTCTTTGTAATATAATTTTGCATAAAACTGATTGAAATTATTGTAATTACCAAAACAGGACACAGTGTTTCATTTGATAATAATATTCTGCTAAAATGTTGTGAGTTATATTATGTGACAAACTAACATCTTAGAGAAGTAAAGGTACTCCTATACTTGAAAAAGCTTGTCATGTACCCATGGTATATGCAGAAAAAGACTGCCTGGTTGGATAGAACCAGGAACATAATATTGGTATATGAAGTATATTTTTTTATAAAAATTATAAGTTATTGTGTACCCTGAGGGGAATGTGTACCACAATTTGAGAACTTCTCGTATATAATGTTCTTAGGAATCCACATGTTTCTATTTTGTATTGAGCTAGTCAAGGCTATTGTTGATGTTCTTGCGCCAACTATGAAATCATCACATTATGAACAATACAATTATATCGAGGGAGCTATGTTTTTATATTAAATGTGTGGATGTTCTATATTAATATAGCTTAAGAAAAAATTTGACGATAAGACAATTATCTAGAATCATAAAACAATGTTTCAGGTTTAAAAATAATTTGAATATTTCAAAATTAATATTTTGCACAAGTAAAGCCTGTTGTATAGTAATGTGTATATGTGCCTGAAGGTCTTCTAAATTATATAGGTATATTATATTTTACATGTTGTAAATCCAAAAATAACTTTTTACATAGGAAAATGAATGTACAGCTATATATACTGAGAAACATATATCTGTGGTTTGTAAGTCAGAATGTGAGAAAATACATGTGCTTAGAATGATTTTCATTATGGATCTGTATTGTTGCTTTTGTATGTTGGTTAAAGTTGAAATATATATCACGAATACAGTGATTGCTAGTGTGCACCCACTCAAACCATTGAAAAATGTTGCAAACTTCCTATTGTGCACTTGTAAGTGTGTTCTTTTACTTTTATGTATTTAAGTAACAAGTAACTTTAATGTTGGTAAAAATACCTTTTTTACTTCTATGATAATTGCAGATAGTAACAGACAATTATAATTATTTATTACAAGAGTTTTAGGCCTATTAACTTTTCATAATTGCTTTAGTTTTATTCCATTGTTTTATTGCTCTTTGAACTGTGTCTAACTGTTGAGACAAGCAATGTATTATTCATTGCAAGTGCAACAGTGTAGGGTAAACAAAGTTTCTTGTTGCATCGTGTTACATTGTATGTTTTTTGTGCATTCCTTGAGCAGTAATCACAAAAAGATTTCTTTATTTCATTTTATTCACTTAGATTTTTTTGTATAACCTAACAAGTTTTAATTTTCAGAAATGCTACTTGCCTCTCTGAACAACAAACAGCTATTACCTTGTACATTGCTAGGAAGCTTTTCTGTGCATGCAACAAGCCTTCAATCTCCCACCCTTACACATGTAAGCATGTATTGTGCTAACCTATGATGTAATTATCATTAGACAATAGCCCTCTACCCAATGGGAGAGCAACACATCCTCAATGCATAGCAATTCCCATGAACACTAGTATTTGATCAAAGGATCATTCTTTCCTTGGTATTGATTGTCTTCAGGCATGTTTCTTTACTTAGGAATTAGTGGAATGTTTGCACTTATTTTGAAGTTTTATTACCATTCAGAGTGTAGTCCTTTTTTCCATAATTTTATTAATTGTACAAATGAATGATACCAAAATTTGAAACTTATCAAACTTGTGATTCAAGTTATCTTCAGTTTGATTTTCTTGCCTGTTCCCATTGCTTTCACCAGCATATAGGTTTTGTCTAGTACTGTTCATGGTCATCATTAGGCCTGTTTATTTTTGCCATGCCAGGTACTCATTTTATTTCTAGCTATTTGAAAAAAACAAACAAACATCAGAACACGAGTTTCGTGTATCAACTGCATGATGTATTCATATTACCATGATTCTGACATCTCCCAAGTGTTTTGACGTAGTTTAGTAGGAATCATCCAGTACTGTAATGGCAACTGGAGGTACTCTGATGATCAGTGATATTACTGCCATTGTGTCCCACATGGTTGTTTTTTTTCTGATCTCAAATCCAGGATTCCCAACCTTTCAATCTGCTACTTCAGCTTATCCTAAACCATCGTGTAACATGTTTCACCACTGTTAGTTGAGCTCTTGCTTCTGTTTCTAGTTCCCTCTTCCTGATGAGGATGAGGTAGTCCCATTTTTGTCCTTCACTGCTGGGATTCCACAGGTATGTCTTTTGTTTTCTGTTTTTTAGTAATTTTTTCTGAATCTTGAGCTCCCTTGTTGTATGAGCCTCTATCACTTGAATCATTTCTTTGAATTTATGGATTTCCTCTTTTTTCTTTCTCTCCCTCTTTCCATTTAATTGTCTTCATCTCTTCTTCAACTTCTCCTTCATTATGCTTCAACTTATTTTACAGGCTTTAGAACATGGCTTTATCAACTTAACTGGGGTAACTTTCACATACCTGTTTTTTTATCTTGTCCTTGATTTTCTTCCATTTGGTGTCATTGAACTTGGTTTATTTGTTTCTACAATGCACATTGTGTTACCTTACTTTTTGACAAATGTTTCCCTCACTATTCTGTACAGGACCTCTGTCTATCACCATTTGTGTTATATATTTTTTCTGTATTTCTTATAGTTTGGCATCTTGAGCTGATGCTGCTCATCAGTAGTCATCTCTGTTCACTTTGGGATCAGGGGACTCCACCAGATTTTGCATCATATATGCCTTGATGGGATCACTTCTTCTCTTGTTCTGTCTTCTATATACTATCCTGGATCCCCCCCCCCCCTCTTGTAGACTAGCCATTACAGGTTCTGGAGCCAATATGTATCTGGAGCTACCCCTTGGCTCTGGTCCTGTTGGAGCTCTGCTTTCTCATTTTATTCAATGGTGAACTCCCTTTGCTACAAACTATTGAGTTTTTCAGGTGCTTTCTCTGGGGTTTTTCTTGTCCTTCTACTCTGTAACTCACCTGTTTTGAACATCATGGCATAGTTCCTTTACATTACCCTTTTTGTTTTTCCCATGAAGATGAGAGGTTGTTAGACAGTCACCAGTCTTTCCCACTTGATCCTGTTTTGGTCTTTCATCAGTTCCTGATGGCTAATTTTCTTGTTATTTAGTTGATACTCTCCCTAGTGGTGTATGATCTGGTTCAAAATATAAGAAACTTTCTCCACATCTTGATTTCTCTGTCTACCTTTTGCTTTCTTTGGCTCATCCATATTGGTCAAATGTTTGGTTCTTGGCCCTACCCTTTGAGTTGAACATGGCCTCATCTTTTTTAAATTTGGTCTGGTGGGCTTTTACTCAGATTTTGTATTTTTGAAAGCTGTTGTTTGGTCTTTACTTTCTCTTTTCAGTGAATCTTCGTCTGTTGGAACTTCTTGTTTGGGAGTCATCTCATTTAGGGTGGCTGGTGGTTTGGCTGTTCAGTTAAGTCTCATCCCCAACCTTGTATCTCATTCACTTGAAAGTCTTTCTTACTTCTTACTTTCAGTCATGGAGCTGTTGATACCAAGGCTTTTATGTCACTTTCATTTCTTGCATGAGTGAATTTGTCTGTTCTCTTGAGTACCTTGATTTTCTCATTTTCCCTTCAGTGGTTTCAAGTCTGCCAATATATTTAGAGGTTCACTGTTATCTTTTCCCTTGTATGCCTTTCTCCCTCCACCTTACTTAGAGGTGTATCTGTTTGGGGAGTGGAGCCCTTCAGAGCTCATGATTAAGTCTCTGGGCTCATTGTTCTTACATATGTGGATTTCCATATGTGTAATGAACAAAGTGAGGATGATTAATGATGACAAGAAACCCACTTGAAGTAAAAATGTATAGCAGAGACAGCTGGTATGGGTATTAAAAACTTTAATTAAAATAAAGTACAAGAACAAAATTTTGACCTTTTAGATCATCTGCTGGTTAACAAAGACAGTTTGAAACTGACTGTTATTGGGCACATGTCTTAGGGATGAGTGTGTGAACAGTTATGAGATTGTAGGGGGCATAGCAGTTAGATGTTAGGTGATTAATATAGGTATAAAGGTGTTTCTTTATGGTGGTTCAATTTTGGTTTGAGTTCTTTTATAAGTAGGGCTTCTTTGATTTTTTGTTTGTTTGTCTTTGTTTCTCTACTTAATATGTTGGTGTTTTCTATGGTTATGTTGTGTTTATTTGTTTTGCAGTGTTCAAAAATGTGGGAAGGAGTTTTCTGTGTTTATTAAATCTGATTTCCATTTTTTGGCTTGTTTTTTTATATAGAAGTCATGGAAGTTGCTGCATTGTATTTTATAAATAATGTTGGAGTTATGTTTGTCAGTGTAGTTTTTACATAGTATGGATTTTAGTTTTGTGCCTGGTTGTTGAATGAATTTAGTGTTTATTGGAATGTTATGTTTTGTTGCAAGTTTTTCCAAATGTTGATTATTTTATCGCTAATATTGGGAATATATGGTTTGCAACAGTATAGGGTTTTATAGTTAGTTGTTTCATTGAATTTATTATTGTTTGTTTGCTGTTGATTGTGTTGTTGGCCTAGGTATATGTGTGTATGATTTTTTCGACAGTTTTTTGATGGAAATTTATTGATGTTGATGAAGTGTTGTTTTAATTGTTTGATTTCCTCATTAATTTTATCGGGTGAGCATAGTTTTGTGGCTGTGTTTATTTGTTTTTTAATATGTTGAGTTTTTGTTTTGTTTCATGTGCTGAGTCCCAGGGAATGTATAGTCCAATATTGGTGATTTTTCTGTGAATTTTCTGTTTTGAATTGTGTATCTGTTCTTGTGATCTTGAGGTTGAGAAATGTTATTTGTTTAGCTTTATCGTATTCACAGGTGAATTTAATGTTGAGGTGTATGGAGTTAGCATGGTTGAAAAAACTAAGTGTGTTCTGTAGATGTAAATCCAGCAAATGTATCGTCAACATATCTGTACCGGTATAGTGGTGGGTGTAATGCTGAATTGATCGCTTGAGATTTAAACTGTGTCATGAAAATGTTGGCTAGAATAGGTGACACAGGAGTGCCCATACTTAAGCCATTTATTTGTATGTGACTTTGGTTGTTGAACATGAAGTTGTTTTTGATGGTAGTGAATTCCAGAAGAGTTGCTAGTTGGTTGCTGTGGATGTGTATTAATGGGTTGGGATCTTGGATATAAAGTAATAAAGCTATCTTGCAGGCTTCAGTAGTTGGGACTTCAGTGAAAAGGGAGATTACATCAAAACTGGCCATTAAGGCTTTATGGTTTAGTTGATCCAGAATAGATATAAAGTTAAAAGAATCCTTAAAAAAAGATCCTGCTGATGTTACATATGAAGAAAGTGCCCATGCTATATATTTACCAAGGTTGTAGTCAAACAGTTCATAGGTCGACATTATGGGTTGTAGTGGACAATCGGGTTTTTGAGGCTTGGGGTGTCATACAGTTGTGGTGTGCGTGAGTTGGTCTTAAGTAGGTAGAAATAAAGGTTTTCTAAGATTGTGTTGGTTTTTCCAATGTATCAAGTAGAGAAACAAAGACAAACAAACAAAAAATCAAAGAAGCCCTACTTATACAATAACTCAAACCAAAATTTAACCAACATAAAGGAACACCTTTATACTTATATTAATCACCTAACATCTAATTGATATCCCCCCCTACAATCTCTTACTTGTTCACACTCTCGTCCCTAAGATGTGCTCAGTAATGGTCAGTTTCAAACTGTCTTTGTTAACCTGAAGATGACCTAAGAAGGTCAAAATGTTCTTCTTGTACTTTGTTTTAAGTAAAGTTCTTAATACCCATACCAGCCATCTCTACTATACAAGGTGAGGATGACATGTTACATTGCTTTATATTGGACAAAAAACAATCCATCAAACAAATCTTGTTACTAATGCCTCTGTTCAGGTAGGGATCAGCTCTTGATGCCTTATCCATTTGCAACGTCTGGTATTCAGAAGAGAGGTTTCTATATATACCTTTGTCCACATGCTTACTTTCATCATTTCTCTCACCTGTATGGTCTTCTTATCATAATACATTCAGACATATCTGTTGTTTCTTCTGCTTCCAGACAGGGAGGCATTTGCTCCTGGGAACTTGCTTTCCTGGCTCTGGAATTTCTCTGAGGTGCTCACAACCATCATGTTCAGTTGTTGGTCTATCATATCTTGAGAGCTCTGGCCCTGGTTGTTAACTGATTATCTCACTTGGCCTTCTTCCACACTATTCACCACAAAGTAAAGATAATCTTCTTCCTTGACCACTCCTTCCTCCCAAAAATTTGGATGGTTAGGGAGGGTGATTAGATGTTTTTTTCTGTTCATTCTCCCTTCCCTTTCTTCCTTGTATGATCAACCTGACCCAGAGAATTTGCTTTGCTCTGGCAGTCTGTTTACTGTTATCTCATTTGTACTGATGCTTTTCAGGGCACTTGCCAATTCCTTTTTTTGCTGTGAGATTCCTCTCCCTCTAGTCACTTACTGTCATCCACTTTACCCAGTTTATTTTTCTATGGATTATGACCCTTGTTCTTTTTTCATCACATCTGTTATTTCATGGCTTCTGCATATAAGCCATCAATGTCCCTTGTATGAGGTCTTGCAAGTGGGGATGTGGAGTTATAGTCTAATGATAATTACATCATAAGTTGGCACAATACACATTAATACATGTAAGGGTGGGAGCTATATTCATGGCAGTGCATGAGATAATAGCTGTTTGTTTGCATAGAGGTGAGTATCTATTTGCAAACAAATTTTCAGGTAAGGAAAGTGTTAATGCTAATTTAACTAATGTTTACTGATAAGCCTAAGTTCACAGCTGTGTTAGAAGAAAACACACTAATTTCATGTACTTAGTTATTTTCTGTCATGTGCAACACTTTTTCCTATCTCTATTTCTTTGTCAGATTCACAAAACTGAACTATGAGACTATTAACTAACAAATTTATTAACTCAATAATTAATCAACCAGTGTAACAAACTCACATTTCTAAACAGCTCAGAGTGGCTTCTAAACTTTCCTGCAAGTTGCAGTTAGTAAGCCATGTTCTCACATGAAGTCAAAATTCCATCTAGTGAAACAGTAATACAATAAAATATAAAGACAAAGTCTATGCCAAGAATAGACATTTTATCTTATTTTTTCTATCTAAAAAACAGGTATTGAGTTTTAAATGGCTAGCTGTCATTAATTTGTAAAAATTATGAATGTTAAGAATTTTAAATAAAATCATAAAAAGGCATAACATGTATCTAGGTCTCTGCCGAAGAAAGGGTTTTATGGATGCCTGAGTGTCATGATGATCCCCCTGAGATGCAAGAGCTCAGACAGTGGATGGTGGAAGGACCGGTAGGTGAGATATGAAAATCTTTGAAAAATTATCTACGTATATAGGCTAGGCAAGACCAGGTGGTTAGGGTGCTTGAATTGCAATCTAAGGGTTGCAGGTTTGAATCCCCGTCCCACCAAACATCTCCGCCCTTTCAGCCATGGGGGCATTATAATGTGATAGTCAATCCCACTATTCATTGGTGATGACTAGCTGCCTTCCCTCTAGTCTTTCACTGCTAAATTAGGGATGGCTGGTGCAGATAGCCCTCGTGCAGCTTTGCATGAAATTTAAAACAAACCAAGCTATGTTTATATATTTCAGTGGAAATCAGTAGTGCTGGACAGAAACTTTTCATTAAATCACTAATACTGAAGTTTTACCTAAAACTGATTGTGACTTGACTCATTGTAAGTTTAATAATGTATGAGTCATATTTTTTATTCTATTGTATTTATTATTTATGTTCTTGAACTTTTTGTATAATGCTTTTGTCATGTAAGATAGAAATGTAACCAGTTAATCTTTCAGCTATGAATCTCTAAACAGGTGGTATTAACATACATATCAATATATAAAAGTAGTAGCTATGTTTTTGAAAAGGTTACATGTTTCTTAGAAGCATTCAACAGTTAACACTATAAAAAACTATCGTTAAAGAAAAGTTATTTTTAAAGTATTTCTTGAAGATTCACCCTCAAATAAAGAATAGTTCAAGTATATTATACTGTAAATATTTTTCAAGCTATATGGCATGATGCTGGCAGTATTTGTTTTCTTTGAACCCTTTAATTCTCTCTCTCCCTCCATCCAATTTAATTGTGTACACTTATATGATTTGTAAACTCGTATACATATTGTCCTCTTTAATGAGAACCCTACAGCCTGTGTCAGTAACAGGGTCTTGAGGGAGTCTAACTACCTGTTTCATTTGAAGGGGGAGAGACACTCTCATACTTCATATGGAATATTTCTCATGTTAGTTTTTAATTCATTCAAATGTGAATTGATGGGACTGTAATAATGCATTTAATAAAGAATGCTTTATCATTAACTGAAAAGTCTCAGACCTTACAAATACTTCTGCTTTACAGTAAGACACCACAAGTAATGATTCTGTGAATTTCTAATTAATTAGTTTGGTAGCCATATTAACCTTATGTGCAAAGTGGGGTCAAATTATTATTATTTTTGTCAGTTACCAACTATTCATTTTACTCTACTTTGCTGATTTAGTGATAATTTGTGGTAGAGGAGAGTAAGTACCAGATATAATATACAGGGATAAAGAAAATACTGTAGATACTAATTTCAGAAGTTCTAGAGGATATTCAAATGCAATATGCAAACTGTATGATGGACAGAAGTATTTAATATTTTCCACATGAATGTCACATTACACTCCAACTTGTCAGTCTGATGTCAGTTCACAGACATATATTGTGTACAAGTTCTTTGTAACACATCTGATTTATACATATTACTGAAGGTTTGCCACATTTTGTGTAGATGCACATAGGAAATTCAGAATTATAGTGAACATTCCTTCTCCAATTTAACATTCTGTTAAATAATTAGTTTGAAAAGTAGCTGTTCTGTCAGAGGATGGTGTGGAAGTAAGGAACTCCTCACTTCTAAATTTAGCACTGCATCACTGGTCTATATCCAGTCTGACAAACCTTAGTTTGTCACAGTTTTTCTTGGATTTCAGAATGTTAATTTGTTTTTTATTTCTGCTGTACTCTTGTGAATTACAGTTTTTCTTTTCTGTAAGTCAGAATATTTAATTTCTTTGTGATTTTGGTTTTTGTTTCATTAAATATAACCATTTTATATCTATTCATTTGGCCTTTCAGGGTCATGAAAATACTTGTTGCCTAAGGACAAAAATCTACTTGCCCCTTCACAGGCACACACAAATCAAATATAACTTTCAGGATTCTGCTGTTATTTTTAAATTAACAACAGTCTGTACTAGAAAGATACAAAATTTAAAAAAATGATAACATTGTAAAGAATGAAGATAACTTCACACTTAAATCAGCCAAAGAATATTTATTTGTAGAGCACTAGAAAGAATGTTTTGATCAAGAAAACAATTTCTCCTATCTCAAGATTTTTCTGGCTTTCTAACTATGTGACAAGTGCCATTACAAGTTCATCCAAGCTAGTCATTAGCTTTCCCATGGGAACAGAGCTTGTACTCTGAGTGAAATTGATGATTATTTGTTCAGAACACAATGTTATACAATACATCATTTGATAGATGAAAACCTTGGCTTTCTATTCGTTATATTGTGACAGGTGGGTGTGGCAGGAGGAGTCTGATTTTCTATTTGATAGCTCTGTAACCAAACAAAATTGAAGGCAATATAAATTATGGTTTGTCTGAGCAGTGATGATTTTATAGTGAGTAATTCACATTTAATTTTGTACTTTTTGGAGGGGTGGTGGATAAAATAGAGAAAAAAGATGTCTAGAGAAAATGTGTCACGTGTGTCACAATAGAGAAAATTCAGGATTTTTTAAATATTGCCTTGTAGAATTAAGAACTTAAAACTTGTATACTATTAAAATATGGATTATTAGCTAATATTTTATGCTATACTAATTGGTATAACATAAACAAAAGGTTCTTGTGTTATGTGCAGTAAAGGATACCTGTAGCAATAGGGTTAACTTGTTTCACAATTAAAGATGATATTGTTGAACAGATGAGTTACAAAACCTCCAAAAGTAGGTACATTATTCATTTTGTAAAGTAATTGAACTAATAATTTCAATAACAGGTACAATGTGTTAGCTTGAAGTTTTACCCTTCCAACTTCTCCAGTGAAGTTGATGCTCGGTTTTCCAACCAGACAGTGGTGGAAGGACATATATGTATATGAGATAGCTGTACTTGCTGACTGATAAATGTGTTGCTATTGGCTATTGTGTTCAAGAGTCTGACTGATGTAATTGTATGTATACTTTCCCACATAAACTGTGCGGATTGAACGTTCACAAGTACTGGGATAAGTGTAATCTTACATTAAATGGAAGTGTGCATTCATCGTTTCTTTACCAGATGTGACTTGCACATTACATCTGTGTAGATTACTTTTTTTCTTAGGAAAGGTTGAATCACATCCTGATTAGTTATGATATTCAAAATTGCATTACTTGATAAACTTCTGATGTGGAAATTTTTCAATCCTGACTTTTGCTAGATATAGCCATAATTCTTGATCACCATTTTTTTTAATATCGGTATTCTGATCAGTAATTAAGTAGGATCCCTGCACCTAATGTAAGATAAAATAAAACTTGCTCTTAGCAGATCTGGAGGATGAAGATCTTACTGGGGTATTTATTACTCCCAGTAAGTGTCTGAGTGCTGAGTACTTAGACAATGAAAGATAACCCACTTCAACAAGCAGGAAATTGAGACAGGACAAGTTTGCTGCTGTGTGTATTAGATCCAGATAGGTCAATAAGCACATCCTCAGTATCAACGTGCCGGCTATTTCAATCATATAGCAGCCAATGCAAGTCCCTCATTCATAGACCAAGGATGATTGGAAGAAATTCTCTCACCCCTGTTCAATAAAGGGAGTGCATGACCACCATGTTGCTTGTGAGAAATGTGTATCACTATATAAAGGTGGTGCACAAAATCCCCAACCAATCCATCATCTTCTCAAAAACCAATTTACTTGCATATTTTCAACAGGATAAACACCAGTCTTCTAAAGAAACAGCTACATATAAGATGCTGGACGATAGGTTCCATTACCATAACCTCTTGTCCATTGAGATACTGATAATGGCCCCAGCTATATTTTGTAATTTTGTATCAGCTATAGATTGTGTACTATTTAAATTTTATGTTCAATGAACTTTATTTTTGTTCCATTCAATTAAATTCTTTATAATGTTTTTTCATTCTCAGTCCTTTTCTAAATTTATTGTAAAAACTTAATGTTGAGTGTTTGTTTCACCATAATTTTCTACTGCATATTACTTTCAGTTTTACCGTACATTGTCTGTAGAGTTTTGTTTAATTTTATAATAAATGGATTTGGTATTGTGTGGAATGTTAACTTTATTAGCTGTAAAGAACATCATGAACATAATTATATGAAGCATATATTCTATAACGAACAACATTAATCAGTTTGAATACCAAAAATAACTTGAGAAAATGAACAATACGTTATGTAACTTAAATCACACAAATTAAAATAGATTTAAATCAAATATCAAATGTATGTTATTTAGAGATGGAAGAAGAGTTTTTTATATAAAACCTTATTTTATCAGAAGTGCACTTTTATATTTAGCTGTTGAAAAGATTTTAAAGTTCGAGAGAGATAAATTGGATGTCATGTTTTTGCATTATGTTGTTAAATAGTGGTGTTGGGAGGGTTAGTAATTTTTCTTCAAGTATTAATTGATATACTCATATGTTCAAGTGCCTGTACTTTTAAGGTGATGCTTAGTTTCAGAAATATAAGAGGCCTTACAGTCTCCACATGTGTATAAATTGACAAGACATAAACAACAGGCAATTAGTATACAATTTTTGTAGTGGAAGAGTTTTTTTTATATTTGAAATTAGGTTTAAAAATAGCTTTCAGGTCAAATTGAGGATAATATCAGTTACATAATATTTTCATAAAATGTTCTTGATAATGGAGCTCTGTTTTCCAAAATATAGTAAATGGGTATGTTATAAGAAGCATTGTTACAATGATATTATGTGTCATAACAGATAAAAATGTTTGAAACTATTGTTACTAATTCCAAGTATGTGATATACATCATTTTTAATGTTTTTTTGTTGTTCTTCCAGAAAAAGTTGACCATTGATGATGAAACACATTTCTGTGACCCTGAAGTGTTGAAGAATGTTTTAGGTTTGAAAGTAAGACTTTTAATTATACAGTTAAAATTTTAGTTAAATGATTACCCATGTTTATTTGATTGTGATAATTGCAACTTTTCCCCACCATAATGTTGTTTTTAAGTGATAATAGCATACTGGTTCACATAATTCATAACTCTTTCACATAAGTTGTGATCATCTTAAAGTATTACCAACACTTTAGTTGTTGTATTTCTTTACTCCTCATTTCTGGGTTACATATTTTAAATTAATCGTAACATGGTATTTATATATCTTGGAACTATTACTCTCCATGCTATTGCCATTTTTAAGTTCTATTGAAATTCATATATTAGGTAACCATTTTTATCAAAGCTATGGTAATTTTTAAGTGCTAATCATATGATAATTGGTATATTAGGTAACCATTTTTAACAAAGCTATGGTAATTTTTAAGTGCTAATCATATGATAATTGGTATGTTCTTAACCCCTCCAGGTTGTATAGATATATTGAAATGTTAAGGACATAATGTAAATGTACGGTGGTTGTTGAAAAGTAAGTATTACATCATGAGACACGAGGAAAGTAGCATGGGTTACATAGTATATCTATTCTCAAAAAGTGGTGTTCCAAGGTCATTGGGATACATCATTTTGTCTCACTACAAATACTAATACTCATTAGTTAAGTCATTACTCCCTTGTAGCACATTTTATTTTCTTCCTATTAAATTTTAAAAACTGTAGCTCTTGCTTCCTTCTCTGAGCTTGTTAATCTTATGTTCATAGGATCAGTCAAATTATTAAGGAAATTATGTTTACTATAATTCTCAATTTGGTACATGTATCTTAATGAAAGTTGACAAGTTTTTAGTAAATGGAAAAGTCTTTAATACACAAATAATTATATTTTTAATAAATCATTTTTACTAAAGAGTTTTCTGTGAATTTACAAAGTCAATCTGAGTGCAAGGTAATTTTCATGTTAAGAATAAAAACACTTTTTCATTCTACAGTTTTGATGTTTCATTAACGTAAACTATAGATCCTTCTAAATTAATATAAAAACTTTTCTTTTCCCTAATGTTAACTGTAATGACATCATTTGTAGCAGAAGTTGAAAAATATCAAATAAGATCAAAATGAAAATTACTTTTTTCTATAATAATTGAAGATTGTAACTGACAGTTATAAGTATTTATCCTAATGAGCCTCAGGCTCCTAACAGTTTCAAATCTGCTTTCATTTAATTTTATTATTTTATTGCTCTTTGAACCACGTCTAACATCTAAACTAGTATAACAAAGGAAAAATCACCTGGTGAGAGTTTAGTTCAAGTTACAGTAAACAAGGTATCAAATTGCATAACATATGAACAGTTTGCATGCATACCTTGAGGAAGAAATTTTTAGAAAATTAAATCAAATCGAACAAGCCTCGTATAAAAGTATTTATTTACAATTTCACTATATTCATCTTTTCCTGCACATGTCACAAGGTTTTAGTGAGTTATATTAAAAACTTAATTAAACTACTTTTTTAGCTAACTTTTTAAGTTAGGTTAGCTAAAATAAAGAAGAAAAAATAATTGTTCATGAGTTGCACTCACAAGCAACTCACTAGTAGCCTCTGTGTTAAGTAAATCGATAAGGTAACGTAAGCTAGACGTTTACCAAGTGATTTACAGCTTATATTGCACGAATATTAGTTGCACAACACGTTACTAATTTTGAGCCATTTTGTTTTTCTTCTTTCTCTCAATTCAATCAATCAGTGTGCGTGTTTAGACTGAGATGGGACCATAGGCAGTTAGTTCAGGCAATATTATCAAATGGTTGTTGATATCATGTGATCATTAGCATGCGCTCTTGCTGTGAAAGTAAATAACTATACATTTCCCCATACAAACAGTAGTGAAATTAGGTTAGGCACACCTGGCTCCTTATTGGATTGGCTCTTTGATCTGAAAATATTTATCGAGGCCTGGTATACACCTATTTGTATTTATTCAATTTTTTGTTTTATTGATGTACGAACCATGTCTAACTAATAATCCTGCCACATGAGTTGTAGATCATGTGATGCATATGTATCTCACGTTACCATATTGGATAGCATAATACTGACCTTTACAAAGTACAAATGTGTTACTTTTTACAGTGCCATTTTGGTTACCATACATTACATATGTATGTATATTATTACTATATACAAATAAATCCTTAAGTATCAGTTATTTTTCTTCAAATATAGAACAGTAAGTAAAAAATAATGATCTCTACTATCTACAATTTATAGCTTTTATAGATCACCAGAAATAAATACATAATTATAATTTAAAATTGACTTGTATCAAGTTTGATTTGTAACTTGTAAAACAATTGTTTTCATAAAAATTATATTGATGATTTCTTTAAGCTATTTAGAAGAATATTACTTCAGTTAATAACTTAAAAAAAATTCTCAAGTTTAATTTATATATATATTTTTATTTTCTTAATACTTAGATTTATTATTTAATTGCCCCCAGTGGCACAGCGGTATGTTTGCGGACTTACAACGCTAAAATCCGGGTTTCGATACCCGTGGTGGGCAGAGCACAGATAGCCCATTGTATAGCTTTGTGCTTAATTACAAACAAAAAATTATTTAATTTTAATACTGAACATTGATGGTTTCATTATATCAGTTGTAGAACTCGTATCATTTTGAATTTTTATTTTCAGTGACACATAATTGAAAATCAATTTTGAAAAAATAAAAGAAAACTTTGAAGAATAAAAAAATGCAAAAAATGGATAGTTTAAAAAAGATTTTAAATATATTTACACATTTATCCATAAATAAATATATAACAATTTAGTTTGACAACTACTTCCCATAAATTAATTAAGAGTTAAACATTTTATCCCTAGCATAATAGAAAATTGTTATTATATACTTGAAAGATCAAGTGTATCAAATAAGGTTATTATGCATATTTAATGTCAGAGCTTGTGCCTGTCTGCAGTCCTTCTAACTTTTTTTGTCATGAAGTGTTTTAATTTTTTTCCACAGTAGTTCTTAAAATATCAAAATGATTACTTTTTAGACTGTATTTGATCAACTAGAGTCAGAAGAGATGAGACGAGCAAGGACACGATCCAATCCATTTGAGACAATACGTGGTGTAATTTTTCAAAACAGGTCAGAAATTATGAAATATACTTAATTTTATTATTTACTTCTGTTTCCTAATGAAATTTCTGTGTGACTCTGGTAGGTCTGTATGTATTTTCTTAAACTGTTTTGACTTTCTATATATATGGGCTCAGTTCATTTGACTGACCTTTTAACCACCTGTAAACCATACTGTAATATTAAATGACAAGAAGGGACCTTTTGTTCCATCTGGGCCACCCTATATACTAAATTGAACTAAAAATTAAAAAATCAAAGCCATCTCTTATCATTTAAATAGTTATCAAGTTTTCTCTGAAATTAACTGCATGTACCATGTCTGAAGCCAACTACTTCCAAAACCCAACTACCCTGTTACAGAGATAAAGCTGTCTTAGCTGAAAACGACTCCTACCATGCCAAAATTTATACTTAGGTCCCCTAGTGATAGTATTTTCAACATTAAATACAAAAAAAAGAAAAAAAGATGATGCATCAACACCATCAATTCCCTTAATCTTAAACACTTCCATCAGATCCCCTCTAGCTCTTCTTTCTTCAAGAGAAAAATTTAAAGATCTTAATCTCTGACAACCTTTCCATCCCAGGTATTGTTTTAGTAGCAATTGTCTGAACTCTTTCCAACAGTTCAATGTCCTTTCTAAGATAAAAAGCCCAAAGGTAAACACAGTACTCCAAATGTGGTCTAACCAATAACCCATAAAATGATGTTTTAACCTTTTTTAGACTAGTATTCTATCCTTGACCTCTTTCAAAATGGTTGGGTAAATATTATATGATCTAGAAGCTTTATTATTCTTTAAACTTTACAATTTTGTCTTAAAAGTTTAGAATTAGTGTGATTATCTTGTTCAGTCATGTTTTTATCTAACAGCTGTTTAGGATGAGGAATATTACTTAAATATTACTTAAAAGCTAGAGAAAATGTAGAATTTAATAACCCAGCCATCACATAATAATCAGATGTTGTAATTAATACTTGAACCTGTCAATGTTTGGTGAAACTCTGTAATCACAGAATGAAGGAAAACAAAACAGTTGTATGTTTCACAAATATTTAATTCATTACATTTTTAATGGGAAAACCATGTTGTAATAAATGAAATACTTGTTGAATTATGTTTTTCCTCAATTATGATATCATAGATTGGCCTTCCTGTATCATCACTCAAAGGCCCTACTCCCATCATAACATTTTGTTTACCCTTAATGTATATGAAGGAAGCTTTACTATTAATATTTACATTTTCAGCCATCATTTTTTATATATTTTTTTATTTTCTAATTTCCCATTTGACGAACTTGTGATCTACAATAAACCTCCAGATATCCCATCTTTGTAGTCAGTTTAAACTTTTAATATATTTAACGCTTTTCTTTAATTTTATACTTTATACCCTTTATAAGCCAGTCTGGTTTTGTACAACCAGCCACCATTTTATTTTGATATGTGCTTATCTTAAATAATTAAGAAGTTATTTTTAAAATTTTTCCACTTTTGATCAGTATCTCCAATTAATTCAGTTGCCCAATTCACAGCAGAAAATTATTGTCTCAGCTCTTCAAAATG